ATTTTCAGAGGTTCGCCGGGGCATTAATAACCGCCGTTTGGGCGAACGAGGGGACGTCACGATCGAGGGACGCACTCGTCCGCGAACGAAAGTTTCGTTCGCAAGCGCCGTTTTCTCTACCCTTTTGGCAAGATTCTTCGGCACGAGGATAATTTCGGCCAGCGGCGGTTGCATAACCCCCCGAAAGACGAGCAATAAAATCGCGCGACGCTCCGTCACGAGGCGTGCAAACAAACAGTTCGCACGAAAGTTGCTAGATAACGAACGCCACGTGCCGCGACGCGAACGCGTCTGCTAATTAACCCCGCCCCCCCCGACGCGTCGTTCGATCGCAATTTACGCCTCGAACGTGATCGATTTCGTAAAATTGTGTTGTTTTTGAAAAAAAAAAAAGAATTACCATTCGGTAACCTCAACGATTAATAATCTTCGATGCTCCGAGGCTGTAATTATACGCGTTATAAATTGTCCAATTTGAATTTCACGCGGTATCTCGTTTCCGAAACACGCGTTCTTGGGAATTACTTATTTTATCGCCGGACAAACCAGATCCTTGCTTTAATCGCGTCCTTCTCTAAATGTAAATAAGAATACCGAAATACAAACTCCGCTCGCCTTTTCGTCGAGCCTTCGAGCGATTACACATTCCCCCGAGACAATTTTGCCCGTTCGATAACTCGAAAATATATTTCAGAGTTACGTCGAGTTCGAACACCAAACGCGACGCGACGGACGGAACACGCTAGACGACGATTCGACGATGTCGTTCGTCCTTCGAAAAGCACGCGCTACAATGCATCGTCGACGATGCGTATCGTTAATTTATTATCTTCGCCGCGGCGCGTGCATGTGTGCCGCTCCATCGTCGGCGAACTTTTATTTTCCTCGCGTGTTTCAAATCTCACACCCTCGCACGACACACGCCGGAGCAATAACGCAGCGAGCACAGTCTCGCTTTAACGGGCTCGCGCGCGCGTTTAATCGTACATTCTGGTGTTTTGAAGGTAAACCGTTCCAAGGTGAGCTAAACCCAGCCGGGGAATAATTGTTTAATCGACGCAACAATAACATTTGATTCGGCATTATTAAAGACACCGGCAGCAGCGTCCTTAACGCTTCGACGGCGGCACGTTTCGCGCTACTCGTTACACTACCGGTCTCATCGTTTTTCAGCAAAAGTTTCGATACGATCGAAGCTTTCCAATATCAGCTCTAACATAGTTTCGTCGGTAGCGGGTAATCGCGAGCGACGATTTTTCGTTTTCACGAGAACTTTTCGATACCCTTGACCATGACCGCGTTTTTCATGGTCTTAGGGGACGACCTACCTACACGGGGCGATCGCTCTCCGTGTTACGTCAGTCCGAGTAGGGCACGAGGGGCCCTGCTCGAGAAAGGTTAGGTCCAATCTACGAGCTACAGTGTGTCCGCGATACTCGAAGGTCGCCGGTACGTATGAACGAGCAGAGGCGGATATGTTCGAAAACCATGGAGGTGGGGAGGGTAGGGGACACGGTGCCACCGCGCTACAACTCCACGGGTAGGGGGAGGGCCAGGTGAGGCCCCCTCCCCACCTGCCCGAACTTGCCGATACACGAGAGAGTCAAGGCTCTGGCCCAATTTGGGTTCGTAGACCTAGCCGGGCGATAGGTCGCGCGTACGATCGCTTCTTTTTTTCGCCCGGTTTCTTCTCGCCGGCCTAAGGTCATTTACTTTTACCGGGCCAGCCTCGAGCCTTGGGATCCCCTTGTCCTTAAGCCACGGAGCAAAAGAGAAGCCTGTTGCTCGCGGAACAAGCCCGAAAACGAACGGCAGGTGCAGAAGCGCCGCGACCACGCTTCGCATCCTCCAAAACTAAATCGTTTTACGAAAGTGCTTTCTTATATTACGTGTTTTTAACCGTTTGAGTCCCAAGGGATATTGAAAAGGCACTGTTGAAGAATCCCAAACAGTGCAATCGTGCTTTCTCTAAATGAGTACGAAAAGACCCAAGCAGATTTGCATACCTGTATTGTTACATATGCGTATTGTGAGTTTATAAATATTTCAAGTTTTGTTCGATAAAAATGATATACAAAACATTTTATTTTGTAATGTATTATTGCGCTATTATTACAGTATTGTACCTATTATGAAATGTGTTATTTACTTTAAAAGAAGGAGCTGTGTGATGTACTTGCGTGAGTACATCTGAGTACTCGACTTCGACAGTCAACAACGATCGAAATGTGCTGAATTTTCTCGATATAAAATCTGCTTGGGACTCAAACGGTTAAAACAGAACCATTACGCGGAAGTGAAATTTCCAGGGCACGAACAGCTTCTATGTTCCACGTTGAATTTTGAAACAAATTTTACTTTGGTCCTCGATGATCCCAGAACGCTACGCGACCTATATATATAACGAGCTTACGCGTTTGATAAACAAATGTGCCGTAATAATAACCGAGCAGGATGCTGGGCCAATCGATTGCTTTCCTTGGTCAGCGAAAAAAAAAAAAATAAAAACATAATCGCGGAGCGCGGGGCGGCGCCATTATTTTTGGATGTCGCTTGTATGCAACCAACGGCCGCGCGAAAACGTAAACACAGATGCAGGCCTCGCTCTTGAAAAGCCAGACGCGTTACGTGCGCCGCGATCTTATCGAAGAGTCGCGTAACCGGTGTCGTACGAAAACAAAAAGTTCGAGAGAGTGAGAGAGAGAGAGGAAAAAAAAAAAAGACGAATCGATACACGCGCGCGAAGAGGAGCAAGCAGGCGCGGCGAGGCAATCAATCGCGCGTGCTACGCTCGAAAATGTTTGCCAACCTCTCCGCGAGTCCCACTGAAAATAAACGATCGAACGCCGGGGGTCTTTTCGGACCCAGGGATCGTAGTTTTGTTACAGTTCTTTGATTTTCTGAGGTACAGAGGCTGCTGGGTATTCCTTATGTATCTCGCGACCGATCTTATGTCATTGAAGTTTTTAAAATATCGGTCGCGGGTTATGCAACGCGTGCACGGTATACAGGGTGTTCGTTCGAAGCTACGAAATCTTTAGTAAGACGGTTGCGCATCGATGAAATGATAACAAAATGCAAATCGTGTCCCCTCCTTTCCGAAAACAAAATTTACATGCTTGTGTTACTAGTTTTACATGTACGGACTCATGTACAATGGTGAGATCGTTTGTAAAATGTCGAAACAACGGAAAAGTGGTCGCGAATTTTGAGGAATTTAATTTGCAAATCGGAAACGGCCGTGTGGATACGAGACTTTTCCTAGAAAGCTTTTGGCCGACGAAGATGATTCTTTCGGGGCAGAACGGAAGGAGAAGTAGGAGAAGTTGCAGAGCTCCACGTGGTAGCAAACTTCAGGGACGTTGGTTTATATGGGGCGCGAGGCTACGGGGCCCTTATAGCGCGTCGGCGTCTCAATATTTATCGAACGCGTAGCGAAACGCTGTACCAAACGCACGAAGCAGACGGTTTTGGCCCTCGGCCCTGGGTGCCGTCGAAGGTCGCGCGCGCGTCTAAAGAATTAGAAAACGCGCGAGAGAGAAGGTACGCGTACGCGAAACGCTCGCTACTATAAACCTCTTAACTATATTAGAGTGACTAGGCGAAGTCTTTCTGAGTCGAAGCCAACCGGAGCGTAGCGGTGGGAGAAGAGACGGAGAGAAAAATGAAAGACTGAGACGGATACCCGAGGGCCGAAGGTTGGCCTAGGCTGAAAATACTTGGACGAAATATAGTTGCGTCTTATTTCAGCGCGTGGGTACGTGCACAAGTGCATACGGGATCTGCGTATTCCGCGTTTCGTCTGTTTACATGGCTCGTTCCGTGCATGCAACGTTGTTAAATTACGATAGCCGCGGAACGCGCGACTGCCGATCGAGCCTCGCCGCTATCCAGTCAACTTTGCACGCGAATCCAACAAAAATCGTCATCCCGCAACGTTTCGATCGGCGTACCAGTTTTAAAACGTAATCGCGTCTGGGCGCATTACGGTAATTTTATATAATCGATACAATAGCAAACGCGAGCTACGTCTCTCGCTGGAAGTCGGAGAGGAAGGGTGCGCAGAGAGAAAGGTATCGATTCGTAAAACGCTATTTACAATTGCGTTCATAAAGTGACCGTAGAAAACCGAGGCGCGCACCATAGAATTTAATCGTTTTTATGTAAACCGATCTATCTGGTGGTATACCGAACCATAATGCGTGATCACTTCCTAGATCGTATGCGATTACCGTCCGGTTGCTCATTTTCACCCCAGTCGCGCGACCCGCCACCACCACGACCACCACCGCTCGACGAGATTCACTTTTACCCGGAGAAAAGATTCTGGTTAGGTAATACCACCTAGTCATTCGATCGCGACGCTTTCATTAAACGACCACTATTTGCTCGTGTCCTCCGCACTATGACTCTGTACGACCGGTGGTTTTTTTCTCTCTCTAACCCCTTTGCGGCGCAACGAGTTTGTAATTACGAGTTCTTTGCGCCAAATTTCACGACAACGAAACTACCATCCAGCACCAACCCTGAATCTGTTATCTGGAATCTGGAATATTTGCAATATTTTCCTACGAGGCTAATTTTTACGTTTCCCGAATCCTCTCTCGCTGTCTTTTTAATAATTTGTCATGAAATAAACGGTGGAGCGAATTCAGCACAATGGCTGCTCCCGACTCTGATTGGTTCAGCAATGAAAAAGATTAACGCTGCTGTGTTTCGCGGAGGGTGAATAAAAGATAATGAAAATGTTTCCTAGGCGATTCGCTTTAATTTCAGTATTACCCGTACATCCGCCTACAAATCGGTTAATCGCTCATTAGAGGAATACTCGGGTCGGTCGTAAAGACCTCCAAACCGGAGCCGCGTAGGTGGCATTCGAACGCGTTTGACTTTCCCGCCATCTTTAATTGTCACCGAACATGGAAGGCAAGCGTGCCCTTTGAATCATCGTTCCGCCTGGCGCGACGGAGAAAAATCGTACGACGCTGAATCGTTCTTACCTACGACGGTCGTAGAAACGTAAACGATTACGGATGGTCCTGGACGAAGTATCCCCCCCCTAGGAGCACCGATTTTTCTTCCGTGCACTCACTCAACAACGACAGAGTCCCCGTATATCCTTTGATCTTCCCGGAGTCTGTCCAACGTGGACGTACGCAACGCACTTCTTTCGAGTCACCGAGAATGTAAACAAACTGGTCGCACGCACACGATGATCGCCAGCCACCTTCGAGACACAGTGCACCCAAAAACAATACCGAGAATTAATAAAGGAAAGCGACACGAAACGTTCCACCGCGTCGCGCACGGTATATAACCTCGTTGGTCGTTCGATTCGCGAGCAGCGTGCCGCACATGCACGACCGACGCGCACTCGTATCTGTCCTCGGAGTCTCGGTGGAAAAAAAAAAAAAGAAGAAGAAGAAGTTTCGTCTTCGATCCGCTAATGGCGGTTCCGCACAAACCGCGTAACACCGTTTGTTGCAACGGAAACGATCGAGGAAATCGACGTTCGCTCGTAACGCGCCGAAAGCGTCGCGTAGACTTTGCAGCGTCCAACGGAAATCGGCGCAGAACGGCCTGCGTCGTACGATTACCGAATCGAGCCCGATCTGCGTGAGACGCGCGCGCAGATATTCGTCCGAGAGTTCCTCGGCCGCGGGAAATTCAGGAAGCTCGCGGCGGCCCGCTAATGGTGGCCGATTATGTTTCGCGTACCCAACGGCGGCGGTCGAGCGTGTTCTTTTTCCGTCGATCAAAACTCTCTCCCAGGATCCTTTCTCCGTTTTCCCGGATCGGGACTCGCGCGCACCCGATAGGGAGAAGACGAGTTGCGTGACACGAGGCGGTATAACAACAAGTCTTTGGCCGTAAGCGCGAAGGAACACTGAACGTAACGCGCGAGCGGCGAGCCTCGGTTTGCCTAGCCTAGCCGCCACTAAACGCCACTATCCTAGGTTAGACACGCTCGCGACACTCTCCCTCCTCCTCCGCCCGCCCTCCCTCGTCGGTCTCCCTCTCGCTCTCGCGCTCGCGCTTCTTTCTCTTTCTCTTTCTCTTTCTCTTTCGCGCTCGGTCGTCCCGTCTTTCACGCTCCCACGGCTACCGCGTCCTCCTCTCGCGCTCGCGATCTTCCGTCTTCCTCGGTCTCTAGCGATCTATGTACATAGAGTACGGGGGGTACACACGCCGTGTGGATTCGGAGCGGCCGGTAGGTGGGGGTTCGTAAGGCCATAGCCACGGCCACCGAGTCGCACACTATCGCAGGGAGCAGCGCATGCACGCACGTACACACGCCGCTCGCGGCATACTAGCCCGCGTTGTCGCTCTGCTTCTCGCCTGTGCGCGTTCGCGCGCACACTATCCTAGAGCTCTAGACCGCTTCGTCGAGATCTCGTGTGTAACGTCCGTATTGCTATCGCGCGGAAGCTTTTCGCCGGACTGTTTTACAGGCCGTCCTAAAACACGCGGCACACCACCGACCCGAATACGCGATATTTTTAGCAACTTTTTTACCATTGAAAAATCATGGACACTCCACCGGAAGCTGCGACCTTTTTTACGGTGATCGGTTTCAAGTTCGACTACGCTCGATGCACGCGTTTATCCGTCCGCTGAGAAATAAATTCAGTAGCAGGAAATAGCGTTGGTATTGTTTTTAAACAACACGGAAACGAAAAACGCTGAGATTCGTTCGTCCTCGCTGTCGAGAGAGTTCTGTTCGCGTTCCAGAATTTTTGAAGATGTCGACGTGCGGTGAATTCTTTCCGCGAAAGCCCTGTGCACCGATTAGCCAAATTAAAGCGGAATATTTCGTGCGAATTACGGAACAGCCAAGACACTTCGTTCCCGACGAGGCTCCGCATTGCACGGTCGACTGTAAACGCGAGTACCATCCTGCCACGAGCGTACGTACATACACGCGCGCTTACATACGCGAGGACTTTAGCCGCGCCGTAGTTGAGAGAATATACCGTCCGTATGTAATTTGTTCTATATTCAAGAGACACTCTAGCGCTCTGTCTATTGTACATATGTACGGGGAAATGTATGTCTTCATGGATGCGAGGGTGTACAAGAATGTAACCACCGTGCGACTGAATGCAATAAGGGACAATGTCTTCCTCCAGCGACGTCTGTTCCGTAACCGTTTTCAGAACGCGTTGGCATTCGAATGACTATTTACACGTCGTGTTATTGCGGCGAACGAATACACGGTGCTCGACTTTATCGAAACTATCGTTTAAAAATCGGTACGAGGAAAAAGAACACACGCGGGATCGGACGCGCCTCGGGGCATAGATTTCGCGAACCTGCCGGCGAAATCTCGCCACGCTACACGGAAACGCGTTTACTTTCTTTTTCGATAGCTACGTCGGAGCGCGTTCGCACGCGAGATACTCGTAGATTCCTATTTCCCGCGAAATCGTGAATTTATATCCGACGGAAACGCGATTCAAAGGACGCGCGATCGTCTCTCGTTATCGCCGTGAACGCGAGCCGCGAGATTAAGGAGGCCATTAATGACTGTTCGCCGGGCGATACGCGGGACCGTTGATTGTTCGACGCGTCTATCGTTTGCCCCGTTAGGCGAATTAGCATTGGAAACGATAGGGGCGACGGGAGAATTTTTTTCGATATCGCGATCCTGGTGAACGTTTGCCACGCGTACATACGTAACGAGGAGTAAAAAAATGATCGTGAGTTGAGTAACGATCGCGGAATCGAACCGTGCTCGTAGGGCTAAGGGTGAAGTGAGTAGTGGGACTCCGTGTTTGGTCAGACAGGCAGCGTTAATCCACGTTCACCGCTTAGGTTCGAGACGGCTGCCACGGATGGCGGAGTCGATTCCCGGAGACTTTCTAACGAAAGTGCAAGTCTTTTCTTCCAACCGGCTGCCGTGCCGCGTAACCGTCCTCGACGCGACTTTCGCGCATTTTCCGCGGTTTCCCCGCCGAGGACGAAAACGTCTCGCCGCTTCCGGGCTGATTCACTGCTACCCGGCGTCGCTCGTTACGAATATCACAACGTTCTCGCGCGCTCGGTATCGTGAAAACATCTGCTAATTGACTCTCTCGCGTTCTTTCGCGGAACTATCGGTCGCGTGAAATACATTTTTTATTTGAAACAATGCCCGTTAAGATTCTTCGCGCGTAGATTCCACGAAGCAACGCGATTTCGTTCGTATCGAAGCACCTGGTAGAACCGGGACAATGGAACAGACACACGTTGTCGTAACGCAGAATCCGATTTCGGAAGTCGATCGACCTTGAGGGGGCGGGGCATCGATTCACGAACTCTCGGAGCAGAAATTTCTAACGTACGATCGTTGCCCGCCCGCGGCGTCCAGTCAAGGTCTCGGCTCGTCGACTTCGCCGTGACATAAATATTCGGGGGGCTCTTCGCGGGGCCCACGTTCGTTTCTCGCGCGAGAAAAGGACAGAGACGGAGGAAAGGAAGAGGCAATGGGAGGGCCACGCCACGGAGAAAGAGACGGAGGAACCTTGCTTGTAATCGTCCATCGGGAACGAACGACCCTGAGACCGCGAACTCAAAGATTAAACCATCATCCTCAAACAAAAACCTTCTCCATCCCGTCTCTATTTTTGAAACCGACGACGTTTCGGCCCGGCATTCATCGCGACCAGCGACTGACTCTCGCGGCTGACGTAACCCACGCGATGATAATGCAAATTGAAACTCGCCTCCTCGCGCGACTCGAGCCTCGACGGTGAATTTCTCTCTCCGTTACGCGTGCAAACCAGAAAAGACGCTTCGTTCCTGTCGCGAAAAACCCTCGATATACAAACTATCCTCCGCTCTCCGCGTTTAAACGCATTGTCACGGAATTTTAGGAGCATGGTGCACGTTTCTAAATCATCGTACCGAAGCACGACAAATTAGCGACCGAATGGGAATTGAAAAGTAACCACGTGCGGGTAAAAATCGATGCGCTCGGCGCACGCGAACCGCTCGCTTTAAAGTTCAACGCAAAGATGACACACTTTATACATTATATTTTTTTTTTTTGTGTCCTTATTCGCGTTTATCAAAGGTCGTCGGGTGTCGAGCTAATCGTTGCGTTTCTGCAGCGAACGTTATTACGGGGTATAGTTGCTTGCGCGATCGCGTGTCGCGGTGTCCAACTTTAATCCTTTGAGACGTATTAAAGGCAACGCGTAGGTGGAGAGCTGCCAAAATCTGAACGCTTAAAATATTTTATCTGATATTCTACAAAATTGTAGAAAATTTCTACGGCTCGTTGCCAAAACGTTCGAAGTATCTGTTGCGTCGCGAATTAAACCGGATTTCGAAACTATCCCCGAAAGATCACACGAGGATCGTCTTTATACTGTTTGTTAATTTTTCGCGCCAGCCCCGAGAACTCTTCCGCCACCCTTCCGCCAGCAACACCTATCAACGACCGGTCGTTAACGAAGAAGCGACTCCAAACCCGCCCAATAACGTTTAGCTTCATCGAGAGTATCAATCAACCAATCACCTCGTGAACCGAGGCTTACGTTTAGCGTGGAACGCGAGAGGGTGATCGATTACGTTCTCATCGCTTGTATAAAACGCATCAGCGTGGTTGCTCGTCCATATTTAGCAGTTTGTTACAATAAACCAGCCGGCCGCGGACTACTACGCGTTCAATTTATTCCGCCGGCTTAATTCATTTATTTCCACCCTGGCTCGATTACGTTAATTTATAATCGAGACGGTGCGCCTGGATCGGCGCGCGATACGCTCCAAGAGCGTCGAGCGAACTTGGGGCTCGCTGACCGCGACGAAATCGGTGAAAAAGTTCGCCAAAGTTTGCCAACGATGCTCACCGAGAAATCACGCGGGAATCTTAGAATCTTTCTAAGAGAAATTAACGTTTCATCTTTTTGGCGAAACCTTCGAAAATGTTCTACGGATTTCTCGGTTGTCGCGTCGCGATCCGGCGTCCGGGATCCCGTCGATTCCGTCCCCGTTGGTACGTATTTGTCACCTGGCCAGGTGAAAAGCGAGAGTAGCGCGGCGGGGTGCGCGAAAGCGCGCGTCTCGTAGCGTCTTCGGGAAGCCGTACGCGTACGCTCTGGCGTCAGAACCCGGGTAGAGAGAACGGGAGAGGATTTTTTTTTAACCTCGTTAAATTGACTACGTTCTCGCAAGCACTTATATCTGGTTCGCTAATGGGGCAACGTCCCACGCGCGGAGAGTGCCACCGAGAGAGAAAAAGAGACGAGCGGAAGTGGGGGATACGGACGCTTTGAGGTGCATTTATTTATATGTTAGAATCCATTACTTCTTTTCCCGATGCACGCGACGTTTCACGCCCGGTCGGGGCGGATCGACGACGGCTGGCTACCCGACCGGAGCTTACCGAATTCACGGTTCCAAACGGCGGCGAGGAAGCGGGAAAAAGACCGCCAAAGGCCTGTGAATGTTTATCAAGTCCAACGAGTGGGGTTTCTATTCTACGACGCTGCAAACAATCGTTTCTCAATTTTTTTTTTTTATGAAATAAGCAAAAATAACAAGCTTTCAATATGTTACGATTCTGATAAAAAATAGATTTTTCCAGTTGGAGAAATCGTCGACGTTGGGTGGAAACAGAGGGTTCGTACAGAGCTACCATGATATTTTATGCAGGGTGTTCGGCCAGCCCTGGGAAAAATTTTAATTGGGGATTCTAGGGGCGAAAATAAGATGAAAATCAAGAATACCAATTTGTTGATGGAGGCTCCAGTAAAAAGTTATTAACAATTAAATTCAAAAATTTCAAATCGTTCTGGAAGCCAAAATAAGACGAAAATCAAGAATACCAATTCGATGATCGAGGCTTCGTTAACAAGTTATTA